AAGGCTTTCTGGAGAAGACGGGCTGGTTGTGGCTGCAAATGCAATCCGCGAAGCTATAAGAAAGTTGGAGAAGGGGGTTTTGGATGGAGTGGAAAATTGGGTTTCGAATGTGGTTACTGTGACTTCTGCGAGAATGCTTACAGTTGCCGGTTCAAATCGGTTTAGGGTTTATGATACCGACTTTGGATGGGGAAGACCAAAGAAGGTTGAGATTGTTACAATTGATAGAACAAGAGCTATCTCCTTTTCAGACCCCAAGAGTGATGCTGGGGTGGTTGATGTTGGATTGGTTTTGGAAAAACATCATATGGAGGTTTTTGCTTCTCTGTTTTATAAAGATCTCAAAAGAAATATTTGTGAGGAACTTAAAGCTCAAATGATTAAGAGTATTTGTCTCTAAAGGTCTTAGATTCGTTCTCCATTTCAAGTATTGCCGGTATCCAAAACCAAATAATAAAAAAACGGCTTCAAAACATTTGAAGCTTTATTCTTGAAGCTCCTCATCTATATATGCTATAGTAACAAAACTTTCATTTCCACTTTATGTTTGGGGAATAATAATTAGGAGTTATTTGGTCACTATGAAACCAGCATTGTAACTTCTCTAAAAATTTGGGCCACAATTTTTCAGTTTGGTAGTATGAAAATTTTATTTTATTTTCTATTGTCACACGATCGCATAATGAGAAATTTATTCACGTTATAATATATAGGCATGTTTAAAAATATTGAGAATACATTTATTGAGAAGAGGATCATCTCCAGATCCACTTTGTGGGAATCTTAGAGATCCTCACATCCTAACCATTCATCATACATCGTGTGGTCAATTTTCATTAGATATTATTTGTGTCTAATTTTAAATAAAAAAATCAAATGATTTCCGAATGGAATCCAATTCTCATTTATTGACCATAAACTTACTACGTTAACCTCGTTAACACAAATTATTCTGCTCATAAAATAACATTCATATCAAATTATATCATATAAATTAGTAAGTACAACACCTAAGAATTTTTCAAATATTACAGCTAACTATCAGTGAAATAGTTATTATCACAACTAACTTTCTATGGAATTTTAAAATGCCACTAGTTAGCAGCCCAACTTTATAAATGAAACATATGATGTACTTCTGATTGAATTCTGACTAAATTACTGTTCTTTTTCTTCAATGAGTGCCCATATTTGTTTTCTTGTATGGGTGGCTAAATTATTAATCTACTGACTAATGAATTGCACCTGTGCCCGAAACTCGATTATATTTATATGTAGGGTTAGTAGTCCTATCTGAATTATGATCATCATCAAATAAAGTTCTTAATTTGATTTCAAATTCCAATTCAATTGTCCAATGACCGATGCAAATAATGTCACTACAAAAAAGGCCACTGCACACAAAAATATTATGTGTAGGATCCATCAATTGTAATTGTATTTTGTGGACAGCAAAGATTCTCTCTCACTTATTTGTATAAGTAAAGGTACAAGTATGAGCAATAAATGTAGAATTCTCCAAGCCCTTCTCCTCTCTGGTCGATCTCTCTCACTAAATTCACATTACAACACGTTATTAGCTCGCTTCCGTTGCTGTGTTAAGAAATTAAAGAATTTTAGAGAAGGATCTTCTACTACTAAAAACATTCAAAGGCTTTCATCGTTTCCATCCAATCCAGATTTTTCTAAAACACGAAATCGATTTTTTGGAGGTCCTCATCTCATGAAAACATCAACCACGATGCATGTACCCAATATTTTTTTTTATTATTTTATATGTTGCCTATTTTGTAATAGTCAGTAGATCAATAATTTAGCCACTCATTCAAGAAAAAAAATATAAATGTGGGAACCATTCAAGAAAAAGAATGGGTTCCCACTCATTGAATAATTTAGCCACTCATTGAATGGGTTCCCACTCAAGAAAAAGAATGGACACATTGTCAGATATTGATCTTTAAGTTAGATTCTCACATCATATGTTTCATTTATAAAGTTGGGCTGCTAACTAGTAATATTATAAAATTTCATACATAATATATAACAGCGTTATTGGGAATTGAGAATTAACGATCTCTAGAGATAAATGCTCTTAATAATTTGAGTTACAAGTACTTAGCAAATTTTTTTTATTAAGACCTTTATTAAACAAAAAAGTAAAAATCTCCATATGATGTTTTTCCAAAACCAATCCAACATCAACAATCCCAGCATCACCCTTGGGGTCTGAAAAGGAGATAGCTCTGTTTCTATCAACGGAAACGATCTCAAACTTCTTTAGTCTTCCCCATCCAAAGTAATCAGTATCATAAACCCTAAACCGATGTGAACCGGCAATGCTTGGCATTCTCCCAGAAGTCACAGTAACCACTCTCGAAAACCAATTTTCCGCTCCATCCAAAGCCCCCTTCTCCAACTTTCTTATAGCTTCACGGATTGCATTTGCCGCCACACTTAGCCTTTCTTCTCCAAAAAGCCCTTTTGTTTCTACAACTGGTACAGATCCCGCTATGCAGTTCCCGAAGTAATTTGTGGGTAGAGGAGGGTCTAGGCGATGAGAGATTTTTCAGTGTGATCGCTACACGGGATGGTACACTACGTGTCAGTATATAAATGGTGAGATATGTGTGCTAAAAAGTTAATAACTTTAAAAATAAAAATTTCACCATTCTTATTAAAACACATGAGTGTACCACTTGTGTTCCCGTCACAACTAAAATTTTCTCCTTGGCGAGGCCTCAGTTGGCGCTAAAGAACATACGCGTTGTGTCACCTTTTGTTCCCTGTTCCTTGACAATGCAAACCCATGTATAGGCACATGCTAGAGTGAAAGTTGACACATGAACATCTTGTTGGTTCTTCTCTCCAAGTTTAGTCCTCATCAATTGCCTTGTTCATGTGTCAACTTTTATTATAATTATCTTGTTCTTTTGTAAGTACTTTGTGTGATTTTAATCCTATTTTTTTCAGTACTAAAAATCTTATCTAGCAATTGGTCGGTAACAAAATATCATCAGATTGACGACATGTTTGCATTCCCGTGATTTTAGAAACAAGAAGTGAGTCTTGACATCAACAGCTGCATGATACATCGATATTCCCATGGAAAAAAGCCGCCTTTGTTGCAAAAAAAGGGGTAATTTGAAACGGCCATCACAGAGGCTTTTCGTGAATACTGTGCCAGTAGGGTACAAAAGGCGATGGAAGGATGGTCTATGTAGGTTAGGTGAAGATTAATAGAGATATCGACTTACGTATCTTTATTAAAGAGATACTTTATTAAAGAGATGATTTACGTATCTTTATTAAAGAGATGACACAAATAAATGATAAGAATAACATATTTAAAAAATTAATAATTTATGGCAATATTTCATATAAATATATATATGTATATTTTTTTTCAGTTATGATAAAAAAAAAAAAAAGTAGTCAGTAGATTAATAATTTAGTCACCCATTCGAGAAAAGGAAATATGGGCACCCATTCAAGAAAAGAATAGTAATTCTATAAAGGGATATTTTGAATGCGGTCCTTAATCCTTAACATTCTTTAATTAAAAACGTAATAGTATTCAAATTTTGATCAAGGTCCATTGAGTTTGTACACCTCATTATGTTAGTATTAATATTTATATTGTAATAGTTTTGACATTAATTGTTTGATATTTTATGAGATTTATAATCCTATAAATTTAAAATCCCTTATTATAATACTATTAGAAACGGTTACAATAAAAAAATTCAAACATTTTGATTGAATAAATGGATAAAAACTATGTAAAAATAAGAAATAATAAATGGCAATAAAATGTATCCATAGTGTTAAAAAATTGGTACCTTTCACATATAACAAAGTGGTACATTAATAAAGAAGAATGGGTACATTGTAAATAAATTAGGGTACAAATAAAAGATTAAAAATTATGAGTACAAATGAATTTTAAAAATATAGGCGCTAAAAGAATATAATACATGGGTACAAAATAAAACTAAAAAGAAAATACTACAAATTAAAAAAAATGTTGCAAAGTAAAAGTGCACAAACTAAAAATATAAATATATAATACAAAGTTTAGGCATAAAACATAAATATACCATATGTAATTTTTCTATCATTAATTAAATATACAATGTCACGTGACGGTATACATATGGGTACAAACACAAATAAAACTTTAAAACATATGGGCACAAAAAGAAACTAATATATGGGTACAAATTAAAAATGAAAAGAAAATTGGTACAAATTAAAAAATATTTGCAAATTAAAAATGGTTACAAACTAAAAATAAAAATATATGATAAAAAATTTAGCCATAAATATAAATATACTAATTGTAACATTTTTAACACTAAAGGAATATATTTAAAAATAAAAATATTTTATTATTCAAATAATTAATGATGTTATTAATACCCAAAGACCTTGATCAAAAGTTCAAATTGAATAGGATTTTAATCAATGGAGTAAGAAAAAGAAAGATGTAAACCTAATTTTCCTTTCTATAAAAGTACATCATATGTTTCAATTATAAAGTTGGGCTGCAAACTATTGGCATTATAAAATTCCATAGAAAGTTAGTTGTGCCAATAACTATTTCAGTAAAAGTTAGATGTGAACTTGTAATTCATGAAAAATTCTTGGGTGTTGTAATTATTAATTCATATGATATAATTTGATATGATTGTTATTTCATTGACAGAATAATTTGTATTAAAGAGATTGTCGTAGCTTTAAAATGCCTATATATTATGACATAAAGAAATTTGTCTCTTATGCGGTCGTGCGACAATAAAAAAATAAAAAACTTCATACTACCAAACTGAAAAATTGTGATTCAAATTTTGATAGAAGCTACAATGTTGGTTTCATATTGACCAAATAGCTCCTAATTATTATTCCCCAAAACATAAAGTGGAAATGAAAGTTTTGTTACTAGCATATATAGATGAGGAGCTTCAACAGTAAAGCTTCAAATGTTTTGAAGCCCTTTTTTTTAATTTGGTTTTGGATATCGGCAATACTGGGTATGGAGAACAAATCTGAGATCTCTAGAAATAAATATTCTTAATTATTTGAGTTACAAGTTGTTAATAAATATTTCTTTTAAGACCTTTATAAAACAGAGAAGCAAAAACCTCCATATGATGTTTTTCCAAAACCAATCCAGCATCAACAACCCCAGCCTCACTCTTGGGGTCTGAAAAGGAGATAGCTTTGTTTCTATCAATGGAAACAATGTCAACCTTCTTTGGTCTTCCCCATCCAAAGTCGGTATCATAAACCCTAAACCGATGTGAGCCGGCAACACTTCGCATTCTCCCAGAAGTCACAGTAACCACTCTCGAAACCCAATTTTCCGCTCCATCCAAAACCCCCTTCTCCAACTTTCTTATAGCTTCACGGATTGCATATACCGCCACAACCAGCCCGTCTTCTCCAAAAAGCCCTTTTGTTTCTACAACTGGTACACATCCCGCTGTGCAGTTCCCGAAGTAATTTGTGGGTAGAGGAGGGTCTAGGCGAGGCCTGCAGTCGGCCATAAAGACCATACGCGTTGTCTCACCTTTTATTTCCTCGGCCTTGACAATGCAAACCCATGTATAGGCACATGCTAGAGTGAAAGTTGACACATGAACATCTTCTTGTTTCTTCTCTCTAGCATTGGTCCTCATCAGTTGCCTCAGCGATTCGATATCTTTTTGTGTGAATTTGAAGGTGCCTCGGATCAAGCCTGGCGGCACCTTAGTTTCCCAAATCTTTAAGCTTCTGTTATTGGGACCGCCCAAGTTTAGATACTGGTTTGCAAAGACAGTTCCGAGCTCAGCTGGGTCAGGAATAACCCTTCTGTCATAAAATTGTGTCAGCTCATCCGGTAACAAAACAGATGAGGACAGATGTACTAGTCCCTCTCCTTCTCCGATATGTTTGCATACGTGAGCCCATGATTTTACAAACGTGGTTGAAGTTTTGCCGTCGAGAACTGCATGGTGCATGGTTGTTCCAATGGAAAAGCCCTTGTTTGAAAAGATGGTGACTTGCAATCCCATGATCGCGGCTTTTTCATGAGAAACTGGCAGTTGGGGAACAAGAGGATGGTATTCTTGGGCTTCAAGAAAGTCATCGTCGCTCGAAAGACGGTAGAAATCAGCATCAGTCTCTGCTATTGTGAGTGAAACTGCATCGCCTTCAACATAATTAAGGGTCGGTTTGGGGGATTCTTGCGGCCAAGTGAGGTTTCCTGCCAGAGGTAGAAAGTGTTGTAGGGTTATAGAGAGTGAGATTTTGAGTTTGGAGAAGAGAAGTTTGGTATCAAAGGAAGTACAAATTTGGTAGAAGTAAAGGCGCTGGACCGGTTGGAACCTTAACCAACGTATGTCAAAGAAGGTAAGAGAAAGGGAGGTCGGCGAGGCGGTTGAATCTGGCGAGGTTGGATGAGGAGCCACCCTGCAAGCTTCAACTACTTTCACTGAATTTGTGTACGCCATTGGCAATTGGAGACCTAGAAGGTTGGAGCTTGAGCTGTTGAGAATCTTGTGTTTCTTTTGCTCCTTTTTATTGTAAATTAGTACTTGGTAGTGGAGGGATGTCTCGTTGATTGTTGTGTCGTTATCAAGTTTCTTTAATCGGGGACCACCAACTTTGGGATTTGGATTCTCGCCGGAATTTCTTCGTGGGGATCATAAGGATTAACGCACGTGGACCGTTAATAAAAAATCGTATGACCACAATTTTTTCATTTTTTATATTTTTCACGTAAAATGAGATTACTTTACTTTTAAAAATATAAAAAGCATTTAATTGTAGCCGCACGATTTTTTATCAACGGTCCACATGCGTTGATCTTTAGGATCCACAATTTTTTCATTTTTTATATTTTCACGCAAAACGAAATTACTTTACTTTTAAAAATATAAAAAGCATTTAATTGTGGCCGCACGATTTTTTATCAACGGTCCACGTGCGTTGATCCCTAGGATCCCCAAGGAGGGGATCCGGCGAGGATCCAAATCCCAATCTTTCGTCGGGGACCAAGCTTAGCAAACCTTTACCGAATAAAATCAACAACCGTTCAATTTATTAATTAACCTTCATTTGAATATCACTTCTACAAAAAAGTGATTTAAACTGGAGATTGTTTAATCATCCAAACGTATCAAATAAATGTTCGGTTAAGGATGAATATGTTACTTGGTACCTACACTATCAATTTATTCAATACATTTGAATAACTAAATGATTTACAATTAAAATGATTTTTTGTATGATGTGATCTTCAAATGAAGATTACAAAGTTAAATGGCTCTAACTTTGAAATTTGTACTATCAAAATACGTTATTCGCAAGGGGGAATGAGCTCATCCCCAAAAGAGAATGCAATTATAACCTAATATTTAATTAAAAAAGGAAAAAATAAAGAAGAGTTTTCCCGGTTCTATTGATCTTTGCAATCATAAGGTTTTTTATGCGCTCCACTTAAGTGCTTGAAGTCTAATTATTGCTTTGTAATTAGTCTGCAATGACCATTTTGGAGCTGATCTTTTCAAGCAATATATATATATAGGGAAGTGTTATTAACAATCCAAAAATCTTATTCTACACTCCTCCAAGTGTATTTTTCTTTCTAAATATAGAAAGTTTGGAGTGTAGAATGAGATTTTTGGAGTGCTAATAACAATTTCACACACACACATATATATATATATAATGTCATTTCTTCAATAAATATAATATCATACTAATTCAGAAAAATAAAATTTGTAACAATCTTAAGACACGCTACTAACTTTGTAATGTAGCACTTCAAATCATAAGCGTTTAGTGTGCCCAAGATGCTATATTGAAATCATGCCCATTTAATCTCTATGTATGCAAGACTCACTAATGCTAGGAATGAACTGATCAGATTTGTTGAATGATTTCTTGAATGAGACGTACACTTCATGGAGGTTGTGACTTTATAGGAGCGAAAGAAAGGTTGTGACTTTGACTCTTCATAAATAGAAGGGTAAATTACACTTTCATACCTCAGGTTTGGAGTTTATTTCAATTCTTTACAATATCTTCAAAACATTTCACTTTCATACCTTAAGTACTATTTTATTTCAAAATAATATATCTGTTACATTTTCCATCCATTGATCCGTTAAATGCTGATGTGGCTACCACTTATATATCACGTGGCTGCCAAATCTTAGCCACATGGCAAAAAAAATATTTTTTTAATTTTTGTTTTTAAAACCTAAATCTTCTAAATAAAATAAAAAATAAATAAAAAAAAACTGAAATAAACACCCCATCAACCCCCCAAACCAAAACCTAGAAACCCAATAACCCCCCCCAACACCCACGTGACCCTATCCCTGGTCAAAAAGTCGGCGGTTTTGAACAGCATCTCGTGCACATCCACGGTTCCTTTCGGTGCAATTCCGACGGCAACGAGCATCGTCACCAGAATGTGGTTGCGCCAATATGCGATCCTTCCCATCTTCAATCGATTCCACCATGGTTGCGCCAACGGCTTGGCCAGATCTTTCTCCTTCACCATCTCGAACCCGACCTTCCTCGCCGTCTCCACAATATCCGTATAGCTCCTGAGTCCCGACAGGACGTCCCCTCTCTCGTACCCCCCCAACCAGCGACCTTCCCTCCCTTTGCACCCACCTTCACACCAACCATCTTCCCTTCTCTACACACCCCCCCCACTCCTTAAATCCACACCCATTCCATGAACGCGAGACAGGATCTAGGTTTTTTTTTTTTTTTTTTTTTTTTTCTGGGTTGCAGGTATGGGGTTGGGGGTTGGGGGAAGAAGATGAAGATAGGGGAGAAGAAAGGGTAAGATTTTTTTGGGGGGGGGGGGAAGACGAACTGAAGGGTTTATTTATTTTTTATTTTTTTTCTCTAGGTTGCAGGGAAGAAGATGAAGATGGGGAGATGGGTTTGGGGGTTGTGGGGAGAAAAAAGGAGGTTGGAGGTAGGGGTAAGGGTTCAGGGGAAGAAGATGAAGATGGGGGAGAAAAAATGGGAAGAGGGGGGAAGACGAACTGAAGGGTTTTTTGTTTTTTTTGTTTTTCCTGGGTTGCAGGGAAGAAGATAAAGATAGGGAGATGGGTTTGGGGGTTGCGGGGAGAAGAGAGGAGGATGAGGGGGATAAGGTTTCAATTTTTTTTTTTTTTTTTTCCTCTGGGTTGCAGGTAAGGGGTTGGAGGAATAAGATGAAGATAGGGGAGAAGTGAGGGGAAGATTGGGGGGGGGGGGGGGAAGACGAACTGAAGGGGTTTTTTTTTTTTTTTTTAAATTTTATTTATTTATAATATTTAGAAGATTTAGGTTTATTTAAATTTTTTTTTTTTTTTTTTTTGCCATATGGCAGACATTTGGCAGTCACGTGGCATATATGTGGCAGCCACGTCAGCATTTAACGGATCAATAGATGAAAAATGTGACGAATGTATTATTTTGAAATAAAATAGTACTTAAGGTATGAAAGTGAAATGTTTTGAAGATGTTGTAAGGAATTGAAATAGACCCCAAACCTGAGGTATGAAAGTGTAATTTACCCTAAATAGAAACTGAAGTGACAGTTAAAAGAAAGATAGAATTGCATACCTTCAAATGGGAAATGGATCATTTCCGGTTCATTTCTACTAAATTCATCAAATCAATTAAATTCACCCAATCAATTAATTCAGATATTTAAAATTTGATCCAACGGTTAAAGTTATTATAACTTTTAAAAAAGTTCCCTATTTGTTGCCATTGGATCAAATTTCAAGGACTCAAATTCATTGATTATGTGGATTTGATGGAAAGGATCCAGAGAGGATCCCTTTCCAAATAAAAAAGCAAGCATTGTACCATTTCGCTTTTAATCGAAAAGTCACTGTTGTTCATAAAAAATAAGGAAAACTAATGAAAAAAAAACTTAAAAACTTTTAATAATAAGGACAAAATAAATGATAAAATAAATAGTACCATGATTGACTTTTTAGTTTAAAAATGTAGTTTTTTGTTAAAATGAACAGGACTGAGAGATTTTCATTAAAGTTCCCTTCTATACTACCTATATACTCCTAGCTTTTAATCATTTCAATTTTAATTTTTTTTTCAGTACTTTGTAAACAAAAATTTTAATTGTTAAAATAACTACAGTATCCCATACCTGAAATGCCCTAAAAAAATCTTCAAACGACACCATTTTCGTTAAAATTAAACTTTTCAACAGTAGCTAGCCTGAATAGAACACGTTAAAACAATGTAACAACTATGATTTTAGAAGTTGCATACCTTATTACATAAGGCAATGACAATAACGTGGCTTCAGATGTTTGCAAGACCATTAGCAAACAGATTAGAAAAGGTTTCCATATGTTGTTTTTTCAAAACCAGCCCAACCTCAACGCCTCCACCACCATCCTTGGATTCTGAGAGAGACATCGCTCCAGTCTTTTCTATAGAAACGACCTCTACCTTCTTTGGTCTTCCCCATCCAAAGTCAGTCCCATAAATTCCAAATCGAGGCGATCCAGCAATAGAGAGTAAACTCTCATGATCTATACTCGTTGAGTACGGTAAAGGAAGCAAATTCTCTAATCCACCCAAAACTCTGTCCGTGTCCAAACGTTTTATAGCTTCACTAATTGCATTGACCGCCACAGTCAGACCATCTTCTCCTAAAACCGCTTTTGTTTCAGCAACTGCTCCGCTGAATGATAAGTAGTTGCCGAAATAAGTGGTGGGTATAGATGGGTCTAAACGCGACCTACAGTCCACAGTAAAGGCCATCAGAACTGCAGCCTTATGATCGCCTTGTATTTCTTTTGCCTTGATTAAGCAAATCCATACATACGCACATGTGACACAAAACGTGGACAAATATTGAACCGATTGATGACCATGTTGTTGTTGTTTCTACTCTTTCACCGATTGCCTTAGTGCTTCTATTTTTTCCCGAGTGAATACAAACGTTCCTCGAATTGTGTCTTCTGCTGGAGCTTTAAAATGATCGAAGAACATCAAGCTTCTATTGAAGGGCCGGTCTGAATCCATGTTTCGCAATTGGTTCAAGAAAATTGGTTCGAGCCCGGCGGTGTCTTGGACGACGCTTCTGTCGTATAATGGTTTGAGCTGGTCAGGTAACAAATTGGAATTTTCGTGTTTGCATATGTGAGCCCATAATTTTACAAACATGGTTGAAGTCGAGCCGTCTAGGATTACATGGTGTATAGATGTTCCAATACAAAAGCCACGGTTAGGAAATATGGTGACTTGGACTGCCACGGCGGCGGCTCGTTCGTGAGACACGGCAAGCTGGGGTGTAAGAGGGTGGTATTCTTCGGCTTTGATGTTGAAGTTGTTGCTTGAAACTAGATGGCAGAAATCAGCATCAGACTCAGCTATCGTGAGCGAAACGGTGTCGCCTTGGACATAACTAAGAATAGGTTTAGGGGAGTTTTGGGGCCATATGACGTTTCCGGCTAGAGGT